TCTGCACAGACCTCAGCTCTCAAGGGTACAGGTACAGCTGACATTTTCTCCACTCTGTTAGCACTGAATTGCTGCAAACACTGGTTTAAATTCATAGGCAGCAACCTTCACTGCTTGCAAGTTTTATTCTAGTACTTGAATTTCACCAGAGCCTGGACATCCTGGACATTTAATTACTCTGATATTAGGTTCTCCTACATGAAAATCTGACTGCTGTGTTATCTGAGAGCAATCACAAATGCATTTTTCCTCCCAGCACCATGGCACAGGAAAGCATTACAGTTTTTTTCACACTACTCTGCAGAAGACAAAGGTATAGAAGATGAAGTGACATTCCTGCAGCCACCCAGGCTGTCAGGGCTATGAAAGGAGCCAAACCCAGCGTATAGGCTGATGAGCCAACCATGGGCTCATCCTTCCCCTTCAAACCAAGCCTCTAAATGCTAAAGTTTGCTCCCTAGTGGTTTTCAGTGAAAAGGCTGGACGTACAGACCCAGCACTGAGTGCGTGCAAGCAGAAAATCAGCCCAAGTGCAGGGGCAAGACAGACAACCACAGCGTGCAGAGCATCACAGCTCTGTGATGATGTCCCTCAGCTCTGCCGGCTCTACACAAACCTTTCCTTTGCTGCTCCTGGACACTGGAATTCTTCTCCCTGCCCCAGAAATGGAGGGTGATAGTGGGACTTTCAGCCTCCCCTGAACACGGGTGGTCCTGAAGACACCAGCAAAGAGCAGGGAGCCAGGACAACACAAGGAGCCACTAGAATTCTGACACCCTGATTCTCAGAGGGAGGGCTGTGTTGGAGCACATGCCACAGGCTGGGAACTGATGCTGGCTGGCAGAAGCAGATGGTAAGAACAGTATTTTGCAGAGGGACACATATGAACACCCTAGCAGTGGGTTCAGCGAGCATCCAACTGGCACCCCGTTTTCCCATCAGCGCCAGCCTGGGACAGGCTCCCTCAGGAGCAAAGTGGTTGGCTCTATTTAAATTCCTAAGATTTACACCAGACAAAGTGGCAAAGTTAAAACAAGCCCACATAACCTGGTTTAGAAGCAAATAAGGGAAACAACCAGCAAATGAGGACCAAGAGCATCTCTGGGCTAGAAGGTTGGTTTTAAACAAGTGCCCACTTGTAAGTAAAAGGCTACACTCTAACAGCAAATTAGCCACAAACTGCTCCCCACCAGGATTGCTGGCAGCAAATTCCAGCAATTCCAAACCTGCAGGGCCTGGGACACCTACTTCCCCAGCCCAGCAGCTCCTACAGGTTGTCACAGGTGTTCCACCTCCTCTCTCTGGTAGGGAAGGGGTGCTGCCTGCATGTCTGTAGCAACAGGATGAGAAAGTGACCTGAAGGCAAACAAGTCCCATCACAGGGCTGCTACACAGAAGCTCAAGGTCAGTTCTTGTGCTCAGCATAGTTGCCATCCTACCACCTCATTCTCACTGTCATCTTTTGCGGCTGCTGGTGATGTCCACACATCTGTCTGCGTGTGCAGGGGAATGATAGCTTGAGCTGTGTGCCCTTGCACTGTGCCCTCAACACCAGCACTGATGTTAAAGTATACAAGGGGCATCATTCCCTGCAGGAGGCTTGCAGGGAACAAGCCTTTCTCTAACAGTTATCTTCAAAGTCAGAGCAGACTGGCTGTGTGCATGCCTAATTGCTGCTCGGCTGGGGTTACAGGCATACAAGGCTGTAGTAATGCCGCAGTGAATCAGACCCTTAGTGTTTTGTTTAAATATAAACATATTGAATCAGTGCTTTTTGTGTAGAAGGCTATTCTCACAAGCCAAGTGTTTTGACAGTTACAGCAAGGTGGTATGAGTCACTGCCTCTGCTTCAGTCAAGCTCAGAGACAGATACATCTTAATCACATTACATTTTTTCAGCACTACGCCACAAGTCAAGGCACAGGGCCAAATGTCCCCATGGGGACTAACCGGCGTAGCACTGAGTCCAGAGTGTGCAGTTTGTCCTTCCAGCCTGGATGTACCTCTCAAAAGCACATTCAGCATCCCGACAGTGTTCTGCTGTGAGCCCTCTGCCAGTCACCAAGGACTCAGTAAAATTGGCAAAGGGAGGTAACACTGCCAGGGCTCAGTGCTGTAACACATGCTGGCCAGTGTTTACACCCCAGTGGTGTGAGCCTGCTCTGAATTCACGGCACATCGGAGGACAGCGGCTGTAGCTGCCATTAACACTAATTGAAGTTTGAAACATAAATCCCATGCACAGCAGCAAGGGAATAGATGTCTCTGTCTCAAGCCTGAATCTCTCAAATGCAGCTTCATTAGGATTTTAATTGTACTTTCAGTAAAGTAAAATATGCCTGCTCCTATTTATTCCTACAGGAATAATTACAGTACTGTATGTGTGGTACCCACAGAGTCATCAGGCATGTTTGGACAGAAGGTTATCTTATCTAAATTGGACTGTAAATAGATTTATAACATGGCAACTTCACAGTTGAACTGCAAATTGCAAGAAGTACTCTTCATCTGGCCCCTGTGCTCCTGCATCACCCCAGTGACAGGAGCCCCTCTTAGGCACGAATTAGTGCCAGGTGCTTTTCACAGGGCTGTAAGATAGCTCAGACAGGAGGCAAGACAGAATTTAACAAATGATTGAACAGCCAAGGAAAAAAAAAACAAACACAAAGCTTGTGCTTTTCCATCTCAAGCAACAGAGAGGGACCTGGAAGCCCCAGGTCTGTACAGCAGCTCTGCCCCAGATCTCATGCATGAGACCCTGGGAATGTTTCTATACTTGCCTCGCTTCAGGAAGAAAATCATCCCTGCCTGCTCGGTGCTGCAGTGAAAGGGGTTGTACGAGCTGGTACTATTGGCTTGTTGATGCAGACGTCTGCAGGGGGTAAGCACAGAACTGCCAACACTGCGCGCGGAAGGTGGTGAGTCAAATGTGCTGGTGCCCTGCAGGGTTTCCTATCACAGTGTAAAGGAGAATAATCAGTATGCAAGCTAAAGCTGGCTCAGATGGAAACCATTTCTGAACACCTCTTGCATGCACAAATAGAGAACCTTAGGCTTCTAAGCACACAGAAATTGTCATTTGTTATCAGCAGGAGACGTGACTTTGGCATGGCAAGACTTATCATCATGTCCTTGCTACTGCTGTCAAACTGCAGTGATAAATTCCCCCATCTCTAACCTTAGCAGCACTTGCAATTAGGGGGTACTCAGCTGAAACCTTCCTCTAATTTCATATGCTATGCTGTTGCACTTCCCTTCTTCTGGGGCAGGAAAAACAGCTGGTCCCACTGTCAGACTCCCAATTGATAATGCAAAGCTACCAGACCACAGGCAGGTGAACATGTGGATCGAAAACACATGTCAGCCCCAGGATTTCACACAGACTGACAATCGATTTCAGTCCTTCCAGAGTATCGAGTCTTATTCCTCACTCAGGCGGAGAAAGCCCCCTTTAATTGACCCTCAGAAAGCTGGGGACCCACAGCTGTGCTGCTGTCTGCTGGCTGGAGCTGCTGGCTTTGCACTTTAAAACTGCCTTTCTTTCAGTTTGCTAATTGCTTTGCAGATATCCCTAACTGCAGATTCTCCCTGGGCACACATGTGTGTAAGGCACAAGCACCTGAATAGCTCTCATGAGTGCACAAAGACATGAGACTTAATGACTGACTGTTCCTGTCTTGCTCCCTGTAGTCCTGCTGCTTTTATCAATAGAATAAAATCATATTTCCAGGTTTGCCCCCTTTCCACACTGATCCAAATAATACCCCTCACTGATGGCAAGCCTGACCAGCTAAAGTCTGCAAACTTGTTAGCTATCTGAGGATGAGAAGTCAATCTGCAAAGGGATAACCTCAGCAGTCCTGGTAAGATTTCCTCCTCACACAGGCTCAGTGAGCATTTTTGGCAACACAGCTCTGCTGAGTGGTTATCTGTCATGGTGGGTCAAGGAGAAACACACATGGTTTAGGTGGCAAAGTCAGAACATACACAGCAAGTAGATGGACCACAAGAGATGAAAGTGCTATTTCAGCAGTCCCAAGGGGAGAAAATAAGGGTTCTGATGTCACATCCAATTCTCTAACTTTGACTTTGCTTCCTGGACTCTATTTCAAACATCAGAAAAGTGAAATAAACCATTAAGAAAAATCATTTCAGTCTCTCAGAGCTATAACTGTAACCCTCTCAGAGTAAATGCCGCAAAAATACAGCTTGCTCCTCTAAATATCCGGAAGTTTCCTGAGCTAGAACATGATTACTGCCCTCAACACTACCCCTTAAAGTGGCACATTATTTTCTCCATAACTCTTTTCAGCCTCAGAGGAAGGTTTAAAGGGTTTCTATTAAAACCACACCATTATTTTGAGTAGTAGCATTAATTTTCTATCATACACACCACACTGCCTGTAGAGTAATACAGGTCTGCGGAAAGTCAGATTGCTGTTTTCATTTAACAGAATTATTGCAGCATGCATGTTTCAGTGTTTGCCTTATGTATGGTACTGTTTCTAGGCTGCAAGTAGATGCATCAGCATCTGGCTGATGCATTCCCTTCTGGGGGGAGCGTTTGGCATGCTGTAGTAAGAATATTTCCCACTCCGGAGGAAAAACAATCACAGATATGTACATGCATGCCCAAACTCTGCACTTTTACATGTGTATGCAGAGGCACTCACACTTTTTATGAACATGAATGTAAATAAACAGGTCTAAATCCTGCAAGAGGAAAATAAAAGCACATACATTGCATCTCACAGCTATAAGACAACTATATTTAGATAGTTGCCTCATCCTAGAGGTTGATACTTCATTAACAGGCAAAGAAAGAGTAGCTATGGTTACTTTTCAGAGTTCAGCTTTGACTGTAAAAGATGACTCTGATTAAAATGACCTTCTGGAGAGCATGCCAGAGTCCGGCAGAGCAGTAGGCACCTCTGCCCACAGCCAGCAGCGCTGCAGGACAAGCAGCGAGCCTCCCTCTCAGCTCTTTGCCCTCTTCCACAATGCAGCAAAGGCGAGAGCTCACAAATACAAAACTTACTCCGCATCAACAGCCACCTGCTAAAGCCCTCTGGGCAGATCCCACCTGCAAAGCCCCGCTGACAACCCCACGGCTGCTGTCCCTGGCACAGCAAAGGCAGCTCAACGGCACTCACCCAGCTAGCCCCGGCTCCAGAGGGGGGCTGCTCCCCGTCCGGCTCTCGCTGCCGGGAGCGCTGCTGCTCCTGGAGGAGGTGGTGGCGGTGGAGGAGGTGGTGGCGGCGGTGGTGGCGATGGCAGCTCCTGCGGGTCCCTGCAGCTCGCGGAGGTGGGTGCCCAGATGTGCCCCGCTCGGATTGGTCCAGCGGGAGCAGATGTTGCCCGGTTGCTAGGAGAGTTGCTGGGAGCGTTGCTAGGAGACCGTGACGCTCTGTCCATCACTGGCGCGACTCGGGGCCGCGGGGAGGGAGGAAAGAAGGGAGGGGAGGTCCCTCCAGCGGGACGCGCACCGCCTGGTGAGCCGGAGGACGGAGCAGATGCCGCGGCTTGGAGCTGGAAAGGCGGTGAGGAGCTGCCTGGGGCGTTGCGGCAGGGGATGGGGTGTGAAAAGCCAGAGCTGCTGGGGGTACAGCCCGGCAGTACAACCTCGCCTCCCCTCGGGGCAGGCGGAAGGACGTAGGGAGTGTATCAGCAGCCGCAGGGGTGCCAGGTGTCAGCTGCAGCCCGGGGAGAGGCGGAGAGATCTGCCGCTTCAGGGGAGATTGGGAGAACCATAATCCTGTGCCTGAAACTGCTGGTAGCAAGAGCAGAGAGCCCAGCTTGTCTGGTCTTTCTGAGTCACACTACTCCCTTTTGACTTAGTTGCTCCTTCCTTCCTCCATGTCCACCACCACATCTTGGCACACAGTTTTTTTCCCTGAGCCTTTGGGATGTTCCACCACATGCCATGGGCCTCACCCAGGCACATGCACCTGTGATCCCAAAGAGGCACCACAGCATTCTGAAATCCAATGGGCAGGAATTGGGATTACTGCAGGAATAGAAGCCACACAGCAAAACGATCCAAACCTCCTGCTCTCCCAAACAAAACAACAGGTTACTGTGGGGTGGGGCAACTCCTGCATCTCAGCTACCATGGGGGATTTCACTACTGATCACCCTCCTTATGGAAATAGGTGAGATATCAGACTCAGCCTAACCTCATAACCAAGGGTCCAGCCAGCAAAGCTCAGAAAAAGTTTAAAAGCAGTAAGTAAAATAGTACCTGTGTAAGATAGCATGCCCAGAGCGGAAATCCCTTTTCCAAAGATCCTAACTCTGTAGGCAGATACTGGAAGATAGAAGAGTGTTTAGAAATAATATTTTTTAATTATTATTATTATTAAAAAAGTTACTCCAGGCAGCAGTAGGGGTCTCCCCTGGAAGAAGGGTGCCACTTGTGACTTGGGAAAAGTGGTTGCGCAAGACAAACTTTTCTGGCAAGCCAGATTGGTGCCAGTGGCTGCACTGAAGTTACCACCACAACACTAACCTAGATCAGACCCAGACACTCAGCCTGGGCTTTGCTCAGCACCTTTCTCCAAGAGAAAACTTCCTTAAGCAAAAAAAATTCCTTTTGTGCCTCCCAGCTGTGACTGTGTCCGGGGACGGACACCACTGCTCCCGAGAGCCTCATGCTCATGCCACCACCATCTGGGCAGTTGCTTACTCCAGCCCATGCCCTGTCCTACTATTGAAGGTGACTCAAAGACTCAGCCAGTGCCAAAACAGAAAGGTGAGGTGCTGTGGGAACACATTCATTTTGGCAGCATCTGGACAAGCCTGTTTTCTTGTGATCTGGAAGATGGGTGTCCCATGCATAGCATATCTGGGCATGACACTGCTGGTAGGACACACAGAGCTCCCTTCTCTCTGCTTGCTCCATGGAGGTCCTGCAGAGGAGCGTGTACCAGGCTTAGCCCTTCTCCCTCTTACATGGTGGGAATGGAGGCACACTTTGTTTGGCATTCTCCTGATCAATATCTCATCCAAATTTTAACAGAGCCTTGGCAGGCAGAATCCCAGCTGACATATGCCAACACAACAACCTCAAACAAGTCACTCCATCGACTTTGAGTATCTGGTTGTGTTTGGTACTTGGTATGCACTGACATACATGCACATGCACTCAGCTCCTCTTATCTTTGCAGTTTGAGAAATGATCAGTCATGGCCATATACTTGTTTCAAATTATCTCTGAAATTCTGCTTTTTCTATTGAGAAGTCAAACGAACTCAAACTAATTTCAAATTTGAATTTTCTAGGACAATAGGAAGGCATTGGAATTTAATTGATTTTGATTACCTGACTTATTATTATGCTGTCAGTAGCGATAGTTCAGGTTAGTGCAATTTTAAATTTACTGAGATGAATCTGACATTTCACTGCCGCTGAATAGAGGACTTGAGCAATTCTTCAGCTCTTCACAAAGATGTCATAATTAATTCAGTAATATCACTTCTGTAAGCAGAGATAGAAAAGGAAGACACAGAAGCACCTACTCTGTGACTAAGAGCTCAATGAACGACAGGCTTACTTACTCCAGTGTTCCTGAAATTGTATTTTTTTTTAACATTCAACACAATTTCTGCTGCAAAGACCCACCTTCCCCTCTCCTGTCAGCACACAATCAGGACTTATTAGCTGGCAATAATTTACAGCCAAGAGGTCAGCTAATCTTTCCCCAGCTGGCTCCAAGAAGTGTTTCCAACCCCTGATTAGCCCAGAGCAAATTCTTCCTCAATCCAAGTCTAGCTGCTCTTCTCTGTCCCCTTTCTGAGGGGGCAGAGAGTGCAAGGAAACAGATCCCCTGACAGTATAAACCAGCATTGCTTTGCTGGCTGAAAGGGGACCTCTGTCAAGATGAACAGCAGTTGCTCCATCACACCCCACCCCATACCATCCCCTTCCTTGGGCCATGGAAGCACAAGAGATCACCTCCTGTCCTCATCTGAAGAGGAGCTTTCCCCTCTGCCAGGGACACCTGGTTAGAAATCTCCACCCAGCTGAAGCGCACAATTTTTTAATGCAGTGGAAATTAAACAGAACCATGAACTAGGACCAAAGTCTCTATTGACAGTGGTATTATTTGAAAAGATAAGACTTTAAATGTGTACTGCACAAGATAAAGCCTGGACAGGCAGACAATAAAACAGCAGCTTTTTTTCCTTTTTTTTTTTTTTTGTCTTTTTAATGCAAGATTGCTTAGCATAGTCAGTGCTATAATAAATCTGATTTTAAATGGTTTAGAGCAATTAGAAATATAAAACCCCAGAACATTACCATTTACTTTAACTGCCTCAAAGAAATAGACAAAAATTAGTTCCTTCATTTCAAAGCAGCTATGTCTCCTTAAGCCAACTGTTAAAGAAAAATGAGTTAATGTACTGTCTTGAATTTAAAGCACCGAATGCTCAAAAGATGCATGTATAAAAGCACCAGTCCTCCCAGGCAGCATATACCTACACACTTGCTGTATTTCTAAACACAGCATGCAGGAGGTATTTTTAAAAGGAGGTATTTTCAAAAGATAAAAATTACCTGAAATGTTTATCATTTGTACCTGAAACACTGAGCAGTTTCAGATCCAAGGAGTTACACCCTGGACCAATTTTGATCCCTGGCTTGGCCTACTCAGCTAACTCTGACAGACAAAGATCCTCAAAGGCTTTCCCAGCTGTTGACTTGTCATAGAAAATGCAGAGGAGAGCATCCAGTTTCTGGACCCTGCTGATGCTTCCCAGCAGTTGGCCAACCTCAGAGGGACCAGATGATTTGGGATGTTACTCCAGCCTGCACCTGAAATGCAGCCTTTGTATTTCATCCTAAAAGACCATTCTTTTCTGTTTTTCCCATACTAGAACTTTGTTTTCTGCTCTGTTTTCCAATTCATTGTACAAGAAAATCTGTTGGCATTTTGAAATTTTTTGTTTGGTTGGTTTTTCTTACCTTTTACATTTTTAAAAATTTCAAGAAACTTCAAGAACAAGCTGGGGAAGAGCAGAACCAATAAAGCCCATTTTCCTATGCATTTATGCTCTCTGTTCCCTACATCTTCCCCACCAACCAAATTCCACCATGTCCCCTTGGACACCTCCAGCTCTAGCAGAGACTGCACAAGAGGCAGCACAAGCTGTATCTGTTCCTGAACCGCATGTTGTTTTGATGGACCGCCCCTTGCCTAGTTCTTTCTGCTTCTCTGTAAATGATCCTCTGTCAAGTGATAACGTTTGTAGAAGCATGATTGTCTTTGAGACAGTTACTCTTACTTCAAATGTGATTGAAATTGGCCAACCTGTTAAAAAATTACGGTGGTGGAAGAGAGACTGGCAAGGAGACAGATGGCAGACAGCTCAGCTTCTCTAGCCTCAACTGAGCTGATTGAGAAGTGGGAATGTTTTCACCCTCTCACGAAAAATTATATCACTCTTTCATTAAAATTCAAAACTCAGTTTCCCGACATTAAAAATGTGACTTTTCCAACTGGTCAAAATTAGCATGAAAGCAAGCATGTCTCGGCAAAACAATACTTGGTACTTCACCAAGGAACGAAGCCTTTCTAAGCAAGGGATTACAATACAGTGGGAGGAAGAACATGATAATTAGAACAATAAAACAAAACGCAGCCGGAAGCCTAGTGAGACCCACATGTGCTCACACTGAGCAGTGGACATCCCAGCAAGAGCAGCAACAAGCAGCTTGCTAAACCCAACCTCATATGTGCACAGCAATGCTGTACACCAAGCACATAGAGAGCCTAACATACTTCACCAGCAGCTTTATGGGTGGCCTCATTCAGGCCAAGCTGCCCAAGTCTTGGCACCATGACATATGGCCCATTCCCCACTCTCCCTGAGTTCAATGCCAGCAGCTTCACTGTAGGGTGTGCTGAGCTTGCACGGGGACACAGGCAAGCCTGCCCAAAGGAATAAAACAAAACCCACTCTGGTTAGCCCTGTGTTAGTGATCAGACCCAGAGAGCCCACCCAATGTGACAATACCTTCACCTCCCTTGTCACCCCAGAGTGGCTGGGGACATTCCCACAAGGATGTTGTGAGACTGCAGGAGCAGCAAAGCAAGTGTATTGTTCCCAGCAGTGCCAAGTCCTTTAGAATAATTGCTGGTGCTCCTTTGTGTTGGGTTTACATGGGAGAAATAGAGCAGAGCTGGTGAGGAAATTGGGGCCAGTTGATGGGCAGGGTGAATTTAAGTGGTTTTCAGAAAAATGCATGGGGTGAAACAGCATTTGAATAGTCAGACCAGGAAAGTACTGCCCTGCTACCAACTCAGGCCATGCCACTGCCTTGGCAGCAGTGCCCACCTGGGCTCCCAGACCCCAGAGTAAAACACATACTTCATCATCAATTTGCACCAAAGAAGGTGAGTTTTTCTGAACTCCATGTCTCCCTGGGCAGCTGAGGCTGAAAAAAGTTAGTGTAGTACCCCATTTCCTCACCATTTTTCAGATGAAGGACTCTGGGCTGGGTTTTCTGTGCACCCAGACATGGCTTATATTGGCTGCTGTTGCGAGGCTTCCAGGGACTGAAGCTACCAACTGTTGCCAGGAAAAGAAACTATTTCTGGGCTGGTCCTGGAAAGCCAGCTCTGTGGATGCCAGCAGGGATTCAGAAATCATGGTTTCTTATGTCTCCTTCAAAGATAGCACTGCTATTCTGAGAGGAACAAACTACTCCCAGCTCAAAATCACCAATTTGGACATTTTTTTTAGCTTACAGCTTTTTCTGTCTCAGTGTAGGCATGGATTACAACTGCGACCTGGGGAAGTATACCGCACACACGAACACATTGTGATCAAAGGTACATGCAAGCAAATGTAGCCATAAGATAAAGACATACCCCTCACCACTGCGGTGACGTGCGCAACCTCATGACAGTCCAGTTTCAGTTCTCCAGCCCAGTGCTTGAGCTCTTACCTGTTTCCAAAGCAAGACACATACACCCCATGGCCACTCCAACTGCTACAGGGACATCCCTTGGCATCCTATACACCTGGTCTGGATGTCAGCAAAGCTGGTATCTACACACAGGAAACATGTTGGTGACGTTGACTCCCACATGCCCTGGTGCAGGTACCAACACATTCACTGGTGTATAGGGGAACCAGTGGCTGGAAGACCACCACTGAAGGTGTGTGAGGGCCTGCTTCCCAACTCCTATTAGGGTCTGGATAAGGGATGGGGAAGCAGCAGGCATCACATGCATAGGCAGCAGTTTTCCTTCCCGTCATAGAGCTGGCTGGAAGGTGGTATACAGGGGGAGGCAAGCATGTGCAGCATGGGAACCTCTTCAGATCCCTAAAGCCCCCAGCAGCCCCCACCTCCTGCCATAGGGCCTCTCTGTCCTTGCAGACAGGCAAGGGGACCAAGGGGATATTTCATATTCCTCCCAGTTATTCATTATACACCAGACACCTGCATCTTTGTTCTGAACAAAACACATCCACCTCTCCTAGATGCATATTCACTCTGTTCTGCCACGATATTAAAAAAAAGGAAGATACGTCAGTTTTGCATGTCTACATGAGCCATCTGCTTCTATTTTATTCATCAAAACCTGTAACAACAGTGTTTGCCATAACAAAATAAGACTGTTTCTAAGATGGGGATGGTTGTATGTGTGCATGGATAATTTCACCCCAGAACTCTGCAGAAGCTGGGTTTAATGCTTTTTTTTTTCCCAGCCAGATATCATCTAGACATTAGTATTCCAAACGTATCATATAATTAGCAAGAGACAATATACTGTATGATCACGCACGTTAGCACTTAAATAGAATAAAAATGTTTCATTGTCAAGTCCATGAAAACTAAGAATAAACCCGTACCATGCTTTCTGTTGAATAGCCAAACATCTTTTCATCATTATTTTTCATCTTTTTATCACAGTTTTGCACTTCAGCTCTTTCTATCACACACACACCAAACGAAATGATGATCGTGCCATTCCAGTGGCCTCACCAGTCAATATCAGCCATTTATTAACTACACTGAAGATGAAACTTTCAGTGCAAATCTTTGAACTTTACAAAGTGAAAAGGGTATATGAATTTGTTTCTTACAACCTTCTCAGTATGAACAATTCTCCTTTTATAGATGCATTTCCCATAAAAATAATTCAGCAATAAATCCAAGCTCTGGAAGTCTTACTTTCGAACTGACAGAAGTAGCGACCTGTTCTTCTATTGATTTGTCTGCACTGTTAGTATTTAAAGTGATCAATTTTATAAATTTTGTGCTTGTACACTTCAGGCTGGGAAAGGAGTGCTGAGATCTCTCTTACTCTTGATGCACCCTCAGCCACAGAGCTGAATTACTATGAATACCAACCAGCTCACTACCTGCCCATAGTCTGTGCTGAGAATATGACAGCAATGAAAGGAAAAACCTTACAGGCAATTATTCTACTCAACACCAGGAAGGAGATGCAGTAAGTGAGTTTACGATGCTGTCCTGTGGCAAAGCTGGTGGAGAGGAAAAACTACCACATCACAGGGCCTGCGAAAGAAAGAGGAGATGCACACACCCCTCAGCACTGCATCACCAGTGTCCAGCTGTGATCTCGACAGTGAGACAACAGAAACCTGTACGTGCCAGAAATGGTATATGGTTCCAATATAGACATAAACCAATAAACACTAAAAATAACTTATTACGTACAGTATATTTAAATCAACAGTCAAATATACATTGAGGTGTGCTTCATGCAAATGCCTTGGGGCACTCTACCATAAAAAACAGTTTTATATATACAACATATAAATACCACACAGTATTTAAATGTTGAGTCTACCAAATGATTATTTCATTTACTCTTCTTGACAAACAAAACTCTTCTGGGAAAAAATCAGTGAAGTTACAGTTGAGAATATAGCCCAGCAAGACAAAAACCACAGCAATGCCAGCAGAAGACTATAGGAGAGGTATGGTACTGGCTTAAATGAAAAACTTGTGCTTGAGGTGCCATGTAGTGACAGCAAAAGATTGGAGGATAGGTTTTATCCTGAGCACCATGAAGACAAAATATTGCTACCAGGCAGTTCTCTATAGATATTAATGAGAGGATGGGAGATGCAATGATGGAGACAGTGTGAAGGAAAAGCCTGGAAAGTGTTAACCAGACACAACAGGGATGAGGAAAGCTAGCAAAATTGTATGATTTTCCCAGATGATAATGAAAGAAATTTGCAGTGTTATCCTAATTCTGAAAAATTAAAGGAGAGGGAGGTATTTGGAACAATGAAGTGCCTTCCTTTGAGGTCAAGGCTAATTAATGGTTGTGGGACTCAGGAGAGAATTTAGCTTTTGTCTGAATCCTGAGTTCTCATTCTTCACTCATGGCCAAGATCAGATTTTTGTCTTACTGCTCAGAGATAAGCCCATGCTGAGTATGATGTTACAGGGGATAGACATCTCCAGAGTATTTGTTACTTATTTCATGGTCACCTACAGCCAGGAGGAAACACAAGTGCCAGGAGCTAACGTCTTCACTTCCTCACACCTGCAGCTGCTCAAGGAGCTGTGGTTTCTGGTAAACCACTTCTGTTAAGTAAAATCCAACTATTTGCTTTCTAATTTTCTAGATAGAAGAGCGACTAAGAGGTCCAAATGGAGCTTCATAACATTCATCAGACTCCTGGGTCCCCTTTTCAACTTTCTTCAACCTCAGCTGCCTAATGCTCATTAGCTGTAACATGGTGATCATATAGTTTATTGCTGTGCAGGATCATATGGACTACCAGTTTACCCACATCACTTCCAAGCAGCAGACTTCTTTCTGCTTCATCTATGATACCTTGCAGGATTCTGGGTTTTATGTCCCTGTGATGGGCAATACCCAAATACCACACAGGTTCCCAAATTAGGATGAAAAAAGTCTCAGCGTTGGACTTCTACCTGCCTTCTACAAGCACTGGGGTTTTCCTGCTCTGTGTACAAAGACCTGTCTAGTGACAGTGCTTAGCTCAGGCTGTTCAGCTCTGCAGAAAGATGTCAAAATTCATCCTCCCATGGCAAACTCAGGAGCAGAGCGGGGGGAAGAAAATCTCACCCTCAGCCTTCTATTCTGTGGGAGCAGCACAGGGAGAGCCCAGCCAGCAGCTCTGCTCTTACACCCTCATTTGTACAGATGGCTTGTGTGGAGCCAAAGGGATTGTAACACTAGAAGAGATGAATGGTATCTACCAAATTCTTTATCCAGGCTACAGTATTGACCTATATCTGCTTCATAAAGGTGAAAAAACATGGATAGCTGTGTGGGTTGAGCAGGAACATCTTCCTGCTGCCAGCTGGCAAACAGCTTGGGGATTACAGCATGAGGATTAATAGCCTTTGTCATTTGTAAGTGCAGATGCTAACCTTACTCATATGACAGACTGATCTTCTTTGGATTCTGTGCCTGTTTGCTGTTCCAGAAAGATGACCTTGGACTGCTGTGAGAGACAAAATATTTACACATTCATTTCTTAGGGCCTACAGCGTAGGCTGCAGGAAGACACCAGCTCACTCAGCACTGAGAAAAAAGGAAGCAAAAAAAAAAAAAGCTGTATGCCTTCAGCTTGGAATCATGCAGAGAAACTGGGTTTTAGCTCAGGCTTCATGCCAGTGCAGTCCGGCTGCGCTGCTTTCTGGAGTACAGAGTGAGCAAACCTCCAGCTCTACAGCAGCACAAGCACACTGAGAGCCTTCCCTCCCCACCACCTTCCTGGCCACTGTTTGGGGTTTTCATTTCGTGCCTGACAGCTTGTTAAATCTGCACCAGATTCTGAATAAACACCCAAACCAGCTACACTGAGTTACCCTGTACGTCTTTCCAAGCTTTAGGATCTGTCAGCTTCTGGCTGCTTTTCTCACAGAAGCACATCAGCTGGGAGCCAGCATCACTGCCTGGGGTATGAGAATGTATTTGCTGGGGTAGCGCATGCTGAAGGGAAAAAACTGCCTCATTCAAAGTGTGAGTTCTCCCTCAAACCCTGGCTGCTTTTTTCCCCTCAAACCATAGTCGCAAACATCACACTTAGTACATTTTAAATGGAAAGTGGATGTTCCTGCATACTAATTCCTTCAGGCTCTGTTGTCCTTTTACAGAGCATGATGCTATGAAAAAAAGAAAGAAGAAAGCAAGTAGAGAACAGGTTGTTTCCTCTGTCATTAACTCAGTCCACATTGCAGTGAACGAGTGTCACTACTTCATAACTATTAAAGTATCACAGCCCAGCCAGCAAGCTTCAAACTCCACAAGTGGACTAGAAAGCAGAACAGCAAGGTCTTGGTCGTGAGCATCATAACTTTAAGATGACCCCTCCAGGAGTCAGCTCCCCAGGAGCCTTGGGGATAATGTGATAGAGAAGGCCACATTCTTTGCTCAGCCTTTCTGTCCACCTTTTGTGCTGAAGGGCAGAAGGCAGCTGAGAGGCTGAGAGATGAAGTGCTGTGATCACACAGATTAAAGATGATGATAAATATGGGAGTGGAAAGAAAGCTCTGCATGCATGCTAGCTCCAAGGTCATCACCAGCTTCAACTGAAGGAGAAAATGAGGAAACGCCTGCTCCTCTGCCAAGCTGCCACCTTCAGCTTTGTGCTGGAGAAATGATCAATAGCGACTAGCAGCCTTTAGTTCTGTGCATCCAAGAACATCTAAAGACATTCATGACTGAAGACCAGTCGATTATGTAAAGCACCAAATAACTTATCAGGATCTGCAGCCGCTAAATATATACCCAAGTATTGTTCATGTGCCCCAGGAGCTGCACAACCCACTTTACCCCTCAAGGGAAACACAGACAAGCCAGAGCGACAGGAGAGAGCAGGCCGCAGCAGGGTCCAGGTAATTAAAGACATTGGTAAAAAGGAAACCCAAACAGATCAAATGATGTAGCAGACCATCCAGATAAAGCCTTTACAAATGGGCACTTCAGTAAACTGTAGCTGTAGCTCAGTGGGCTAAAAGAGGTACTCATTCCTGTGGGCATCAGTTGAAAGTCACCATTACAGGGAATATAAACATGGTGAGATCATTCTGTTCTGTTGTCGATACACATTAAAAACAAAAACTAAAACAAGAGCAGAGTGCCTGGCAGGACAGGGGCATGCTGGCTGGAGAGAGACCAAGGAAGGAACAGACTGCAGCTAGCAGAACGATGCTGCTCAAGATAGAGAGATGTGTCCAGAGCACTTGCCCACAATATTCTGGGCTTATGCCAGTGCATTTAGTTCCTTTCCCACACAATGGTTTTGTGGGTTTTCAGGCTGTGATTTTTATTTTATTTTTCTCTCTCAAGAGAAGAAAATTCAAATAAGCTATAAGGGGATTCCAGACAGTGGTGTTAGAAGGGGATGAATTAGCCTAGAAAACACGAGTGCATTAGGAAACCTCCATTATCTGAACTTGCAAGTCCCAAGCATTCCCAGAACCAGGTCAGCTGTTTCTTTCCTGCTTGCTAAACTCCCCATGGCCCTTCCACATCTCTTCTCCCCACCTGGAGCCCCACAGAAGCAGAGATCAGGTAGGTACCAGCATCAGCATCCATGTGGAGGGAAGCCAATGGAGCACAGGGCTTTAAGTCTACTGACGATTGCCAACTGCAAGGTAATGCATGTCAAGTTTCCCAAGGAATGGCAATCTTTCTGGGAATTCAATCTTGTCAACTACTTCCAAAAGAAACAAGGAGTTGAAGCAGTGATTGAAAGGGCAGTTGTATTTACATAAGAAAATGAGCACAAACCCAGGCTGTATCAGTATTAACGATGGCTAATTCAATCTGTCAATGAGAAGAATACGGAATATGGAGGAGCTGCTGCAAAGCCTTCATTTCACAGACAGTTAATCCTAAAAAGAAAAAAAAGCCACCAAAGCAAGAAAAATCAAGGTAGCAAGCAGGAACAACCCCACCATCCAGCACTGTATTCATCCCAAGATTCCTAAATTCTTCCATTGCTTCAGTAGGAACATAATGAACCCCACAAATGCACTAACATTTTAAGCTGCAGCTCCAAAACCCCTTTGTGCCATCCCTTTTCCCTTCCCTCTAAACTTTTCTAGCAAAAAATCAGGCCAAAGTGTTGTTGCAAAGATGCAGCAACCTGCTTCCATCAGAGAGTAAGGTTTTAACATGCTCAGATATTAACTTACTCTAAGTAAGTTAGTTGCACTTGCTTTGCTCTGACTCCTGATACTCTACACTGAAATTATATATTAAAATTCAATTCCCTTAATGCTGTATCTTCAGAAAAGATCTTGATGTGAAAATGGCATGGAAGTCCAAAACCACTTTATTTCATTACTTTTTAAGAGTATTTTTTCCACTCTTTTTAATCACACTGTTATAAATCTGGTTTATCTCCAGTTCACTGCTGAAACATTATACTTTCCCCTTAGCTAATCATGAAACATAAGCAATACTCCGTAGGCTCAAGAGGTTGTGAAGAGAACCTCACTAAGTTTATTATACATACACATCCCAGATAATAAAATTAATTATAAACACTTCTATATACATTTTATGCAGTTCAGGAAAAAAGATGCAGAGACTGGAAAACACTGAAATCAGCAAATGCACCTTTTCAATTGGGCTGTTTCTTTACTTTTTTCCAGAATAAAAGTACATGATATAAAAACATTTATATTCCGCTGGTTACCATTCACATGCTCATTTTCTCTTGCACTGGTAAGCAGCAACATTAACAGTGCCGTCAAAAATGTATTTACTTGCTGAGCTGTATTTGGGTTATTTGCGATACAAAGCCCCAGTAGTGCAAAGCAGGTATTACACCAGCTTATCTAGGCAGTAAGGGCAACCCGCTTACACAGGACACCCACCATCAGAAAAACAATGCTCAGACAGGTAAGTGATAAGAATATATAAAACCGTGTCCTGTCAAATAATTTGTATCACTTATACCAGATGTCCTTCTGCATGCAGATTATTCTGTCTGCCTCACGAGGACAGACAAAGACTGTGTGTATGACAAGGGATAACCTGTACGTATCACACCACTGCCCGCAGGGTCTGGCTAGCCTGGGTGTATATGATGTAAACCTGCACTGAGTATCAGTTTTGGTCAAACAGCCAGTGCCAAAATTTGCATTAGTTAGATTTGCACAGCACCGTTGAAGGGAAGGAGACATTGTTACAGTAGGAGGCAGAATTTGGTGCCAGGTCTCAGTAAATGATAAAAACAAAACATGATGTGATTCATCACAGACAAACCCTTTCAGCAAAATAATTCCTGTGTCTTGCTATCCTCAGCAGGAAAGGGGAGTTGATAGTATTTGAAGATCTCAGCATCTTACTGCCTACATACCACCACCGCAGCGGAGGGATGAACATCCTCTGCTGTGTCACACACAGCATTGCAACAGCTAACAACTGCTGAACTTTCAACAGCTGAGTAGCAGACTAAGACATGTCCCCTATCCATCATCTCCATAACTTCAAGTCACAGAGACAGGACATAAGATTAAAATAGAAAATGACAATATACTCTGTACCATAACTACATAAAAGTGTCATTGCCTCCTCCAGCAAGCCTGCTCTTGCATTGTTTTTAGTTAAAGTCAGGAAGCATAATACTTCTCTCTGGTGTTAGTTCAACAGAGCCAGCAGCTCCTCAAGGGGGGCCCCCTGGATCCCATTCCTTGCCTGCAGGAGAGCTCGCCCCAGAGATGAGGTGACACAGTCCGGCATCCTCCGCTGCTCAGTGTCAAAACCAGTCCCCTTTCAGATGCTGAGAAGATAGTACAGGACAGCACATTCAAAGAGCCCTCAGCACTGAGTTGTGCTTAACAAAGTCACAGAGTAACCACAATCTAAAGCCTTTTTGTATAATGCTCACCAAAATGCTTTTCTGAATGAACCTTGCTTAAAAAGCCAAGTAAAATGAGTAAAACAGTGATGCAGAAAAGAGTGATTCAGGCACAAAGGTGGATGTGCAGCTTGTTCTAGTCTTTTTTGGTATTTGTGATGACAGAAGCCAGGAACTTCAAGTAAACATCTAAACATGCATTGTATAACTATAATATAAAACTGATGTTAGGTATCTCTCATGCAAACTCACAACAATGCTGGCTAACAAGTACACAGGATACTTAGTTGAAAGTACTAATAGTGCTTAGTGCTAATATCAGTTTTTAGTACAGAAAAAACAGTAGTAATGTCTAGGCACTTGAAAGTTGACAAAGAATTCAAGAGTGCTTTCCCATGCTGCCTGAAAAATACACCATTCAGTTTATAGTGGTATCAAATGCTTATTTCTAGGACGTAGAAACACAGTAATACAAAGGGAGAGAATGTGATCTGCATGCAGGCTAGCCTTTCTGTGAGCTATCTGCATAGCAAGAATATCTGCAAGCTTCACTAACATAAATAAGGGAGGGAGGGAAGAGAGAGTTTACCCCAGAAGAAAACAGCATCAAAATTGTCCTATGATGGTCAAACCTATGACAAAATGAGTGGAGAAGATTTTGTAGGTATTCACACTGCTTCTCCCTAGGATTAATTATTTGGATGTACAATAGGCAGGACAACCTGGAAAGACCAGAACTAAACTTGCTTCCCAGGCCTTGCCATCTTTAATACCTGTGACTGCTGATACTGAAAAGTCAGGTCAAAGCGCATGTGACCCGTAAGAGCACTGTGCTTGCCACAGCACAGCTTTTCGCTGCTGACTGAGAACAAGGAAAGACAGCTCATCACATCAGGACCCACAGGCTGCCCTGGTAACCACTAGGACTCCAGCAGCATGTGCCACCTGCAGACCTGTGTACCCTTCGATTCCTTCATTTCCTGCCAATGACTTTGCTCTTCCTCTCCGCTGCTGTTCTGACCCATAGAAATCCATCCAATCATCTCTTTGCGCTTCATGCTGCGTCTGTTATATATGGAGATCATTAGTGTGACATCAGAGAGCTGGAAGAGAGCAACCTGGAAGATGAAAGTTTCTTTGTAGACAGGGTTGGGCTGTCCTCGACGGATGGAGGTTTTGCAGTGAGACATCTCCTGACCCACAGAGTTGCGCAGGCAGAGCTTTCCATAAGTATCTAGGACAAAAAAGAGGAAATAATATGTTAGGCACAGATGGCAGAATAAATGAAAGCCCCAAGCAGTCAAAAAAACACCCCCCAAACCTCCAAGTACAGTAGCTTTGCCTACAGTGAATAATAGATGAGGGCTGGACTGCTGTCATTAGAAAATCCTTGAGATGAGAAACAGCAGGAATGGATTTCCTCATATACAGCTGTGAAGAAAAAGGATGAAACTGATGCATGTTTCAGCTCTACTTTCTTGAAAAGAGGAGGAAATCTGGCTCCCATGCCTAGCAAACCTGTCTAAGACTAACGGAAACTATCAGCCATCTCTACGGATTCTCTCCATCAAATGATGAGTCTCTACCTTCCCCCTTCTCCCTCATAGTCAAGCTTCATTGGGGCCATCTTACCAGGGCTTGCCTTGGCTTCACTTGCCTATCCACCACTCTCCTTTGGAAGAATGCCTCTATGATCTTTATTGAATATAGGAAACAAAAAGTGTCCTGAAAGAGATGGAAAGGAAACCTGCATGCATTGTGAAATTATTTGATCTCACATGACAGTTTCTAGGCTTTTTCTAAATTCTCATTTGTCCTGATTTTGAAGGAAAGTACAATGATGTCATCATTCAAACTTTTTTGGTGGAATCAAGGTCAGTTTTATTCACTATTTAAAGTCAATATAAGGAATAAAAAGGCTTAGTAGATACAAAAGAGGGATGGTTCAGGTCAGTGTTCCTATAAATCCACCCTTAAAATTCTTGCTGCTCCTGTATTAATTAATTTACCTCTGCTGCATGATCACTAATACCTTGGTCTCAGGCAGAGCTCTGTTGTCCCAATGTTCCACAGACCCAGCTCAGTGTAAGTTTTCACCTCACTCTGCACGTGATGGTAACAGATTACTTGTCAAGAAAAGTCCCCTCCTAACCCCTTTGTGATTTGTGCCTGAGGATTCTGCAAGTGAGGCTTATTTCAGAGTGTGCTGAAGATAGGAAATAAATAACAAGCCTCCGTCTTTGTCTATGGCATTTCTATCCTCTTCTGTTCCCTTCTGATGTGATATTTTACGCACTTATCTACTGAGCAACACAAGGTGTGAAATTACACTTCAGGTGTGAAAACACTTCTGTGTCTCCAAAGCAGGGCTTTCCACTCCTCTCAAACTGTTCCACTGAAAAAGCTGTCAGGAGACTGACAATCAAGGAGCAAATTGTGAGCCTGCACAGCTGTACAGCTATCCAGTTACTGCAGGGGAAAGTTCAGTCCAGTCATTAGCTGGGGGTGCCAACCTGTCTCCCAGCGTAACCCTGGAGATGAAGTAGATCTTGCCAACAAAGACCTACCCGTTAGACAGAAAAGCAGAGCTCTGACCTGAAATGTTTTCCTGATGGTTTCTCGGAACAAAAGAACTGCTATACCTAGAGGTGGACTAATTCCCACAGTAATATTCAATATTGGCAGTGCTGAGGGGCTGAAACCTGTAACAACTTCACACACATCAGAAACACAAAGCCCAAGAGAGGAGTCTCTGTTCTAGCTTGACTCAGTGTGAAACAATGCAAGCAAACTACCAGACACAGTCTCTTGCAGAGCTTGTAGAGATGTCACTTTGCTTTGCACTGGCAAACTGTAACATGCACTGTTCCTCCTGTGGAAGTCCTGGCTGCTGGTCTGAGGCTGTGAGGAACTTGCTGGAAATAAAGTGGGGAGTAGGGGTTTTATGGGTCCTTTAAATATCTTAATTTTTTTTTAATTTTTATCTTTTTTTAAGGAGGGGATTTCAAAATAATGAAAAATCTCTGCCAGGTTGATTCTTAAATACAAGCAAGCAGCTAATTAGTACAATTCCCTGTTTGAATTCTTATTTTTTTCTTTCTTTCAAATTAAAAGCTTACATTTTCTACGTAATTTCAGTGTATTTTCCAAACCAATCCCATTTACAGGCAGAAAGCTGAAGGGGCTTGTTTCTGCTGACACACAAAAGAGGTGGGTGCTGAGACCTAGGAATTTACAGAGGTGAGACCATCTGTTTGCTCCTGGACCAATAACTCCATTTTTTTCTAGATGTGTCCTTGGTGTTATACTGATTTCCCCATTACCCTCTGAGAACTGCTTTGCTGAGGGTGAGGGCATTTGAGTGGGATCACGGTAGGACTGGGTCAGCAAGGGCAGAGTGGGGGCATGGAGCAGCACTGGAAAGGTCCTGCTGTTCGATCTCTTGGCAGCTCCTGGGAGGGTTTCCCCAGCCGAGGACTGCTACAAACACCGTCACTGCTATCCTATCTGGCCATGGCAATGTGCAACGTAACTAACAGCAGATGAAGTGTGTTTTAGCTTATCTTCCCATGCTACTTGAGGGAAAGATCACCCATACATGCTTGTATCTCTTTTTTATGAGAAGACAGGGAGAAGACTGAAATCTAGATTTTCCTCTCAGTTCCCTCTGACTGCTGCCAGTATTGGCAGCAGCTCAGGTGAGATTCATCACACCTAACTGCAGGCACATTCATTTGAGTGCTCCCCAGAGGAATCAACCAATTTATAATCAATACCACCAGAAGAAGCACAAGGCACAATTCAGCAGCTATCTAGTAGACAACGCTACCATTACAGATGATATAAGTTTTAACACTAAATCAAATACCACAGCTAAAACACTTCATAGGATGCTGTTTCAGGATGTCCCAGTTAATTTTCCAGGCAATGAATGGATGAGTTTCTTGCAACTGTAAACTCTAGGATGCCAAACCTTTGACTGATGCCTCCACTTCTGCAAGTGAGGAGTAATATAGCTGGCTTTAAAGAAAAACAAGCATCACATGACCAATGACTTATATCCAACAGAGATCAAAGTCAAAAAATTGGGCTGCTTCTTTAATACACATCAGATCCACTACATAATTCTGCACCAAGGCCCTTTCTATAAAGTATCAAGGTAGATGAGGATTGTGCATGTATCATCTGGGTCAGTCAAGAACATGCAGGCAGGGAGGAGACTATGCTCAGGGCAAAGCCAGTACCATGAGCCCTTTTCATGCCCATGTAAACACAGGCACAAAACCAGTGTAAGTGACAACTAAATCAGATAGCTAACTCTTCTCAAATTTATTCCATTGGATGTATTTTACCAGGCAAAAGAATCAAGCTTGCCTGAACAGAAAAGAGTAGGTGTGGATAATTTATTTAGCATTTAAAATTTGCTTTGCAGAGCTGGTACGTATGAGGCTGAGCTGATATTCTGCTCCACTAACTACATTTTAAGACTGTGGTTTGCCCTTATTCCATTGTGCTCTTTGCAGTGTCTTTTTAGGTGTCTCATTAGGAAACACTTCATAGTTCTCCTTATGGTTCAGTCTGGTTCTCTGAGATAAAAAGCTCTCCCCTCCATTTGGCTTTGTCAAAGAAAAATCATCCCCAGATACACAGTGAAATTTGTGGAACTACAGCAAGGATGAACTTGAAAATTTACTGAGGAATGTATGTGGAAGAGCATCCATTCATTATGAAGGCAAACATTTTCCACCTAATTACATGCTTAGATTCAATAATGGCCTCATTACTGTGGTATCTCAGCACTCTTTGCTCTTCAGTGTATTTACTCTCAGGCCACCTCTGTCAAGCACAAAAGGAGAAGAGAGATTAAGGCTTGACATTCTTTAAAATGCCTAAGTGTTCACCTTCTATTTAGGCACCTATCCTACTGACATGAAGGAGAGTGAGACCTCTTAATATCTGGGAGTGTCTGAGACTGCAGCTTGCCCACAGTTACACAGAAGCCTGTGAAGAAGCAAGAACAACATCTAATTTTGCCAAGACCAATTTTAGCACTGCATCAGACTCTCCTTTTCATATAGGCTTTGGAACAGAAGTTCGTGCTACAGCTCATCTTTACTCTAAACTAATTTTTCATCTCTGGTATGAGTGGATTGAACAATGTTACCATATACATAAAATATCAACACCTCTGCATTTAATACCAGAGTGAAAAGCACTAAATCAAGGAAGGCTGCAAGAAGCCAGACACATTTTGGGCTGGCGCTGCATAATCTTACTCCAGAGGTTTGGCCAAACCTCTCCTTGTGCAGACTGCTCTGTCTCCATCAATACTGCCCTAGCCATAAAACACCTCTTGAGAGCTCATCTGCAAAGGCAATCACTTTATCTGTGATTCTTCTAATGACCATTTCTGTCACCATCTTTCTAAGGGAACTAACTGAAAATGACAACTCAGGGGAATAATCAACTATAATTTATATGTTCACGTTTTTCAAACAGGGACCGTAATGTTCATTCTGTTTTCATTTACCCTAAGTTCCACCATTATTAATAAAACCGACTCATGAACAGAACACTGCAAGTACAAAAGCATCTAACAAGCTGCTTGAATTTATATTTAGAAAGGAAATAAACAACCAAAGACTCCTGACCCTTTAGGTCTGTGGATTGCAGAGTACAAAATAGTGCCGTACAGACATTCCCACCAGCACACCAGGCAAGCTAGCTCATTTCCAAAAGCAGCATAACCATCTCAGCATGCTGCAATCCAGACTAATAACAGCCGCAGTAAAATAAAGCCTTGGGCCTAGAGCTTAATTTCACCCAGCTGGCATGCCCACGCTCCTAGCCTACATGATAAATGGCAGTATCGCATGGCAAAGCAGCCCCAGAGCTTGCCTCTGTGCTATCTGTACAGAACAGCTCAACACGAGGTCTCTGAAACCCAGAAGACCATTTCTCCACCAGGCATGGCTTTACCTCACCATTAAACCAGCAGTGAGCAGAAATATTCTGAACCTGGCTCATTGTAACTGGATTGGGAAAAGAGCAGGGAGGAGAATTAGACCCAAGCTTTTGTTCCCAGCCCCACATGGTGAACATCAGGATTAGGCCAGAGGCAGGTTGTGGCTTATTCTATAAATTGTACAAGAGCTCAGAGCTGCTTGTTAAGTTGCTGAGGAGACAACTTGTCTTCCCCTATTCCACCAAGTCTCTGCTGCCCAGGTCCCCTCT